TCAGCCACCAGCCCGCTTTGCGCGCGCACCTCCGTACCTGAGTATTTTCCACACTGCGCCTCCTCTGAGCCTCGGTATGCTGTTGTTTTTCCTTCTAGTTGAAGAGTCTCTCCTCAGCCAGCCTTCCTGTGGTTCTGGGTGATGTTCGTTCCGTCTTTTAGTCGTATTTTTGAAGTGGTTGTTTGCGGCAGCAGTCTCCGGTGTTTACCTATGCCGCCATCTTGGTCTCCCCTGACTCAACTTTCTTATGTGGTGTGGACTTTTTGAAGAGAAAAAAGGATTTTTTCAGAGTTGCTACTTTGAAACTCAATATTCCCTTACTGAAGAGCAACATTCCATATACATATCTCTAGCTTCAATTTTATGAATAGAAAGAAGGGATGCTGGTTTGATGTGAGAGAAGAGAATTTAGAGTACACTACCTGATGTGGGCTTTCTTCTTTTTGTTGTAATTGGGCTGGATGGTCAGGGCAGAAGATATATTTTTGTTCTTTGGTCACATTTCCCACTTCTCATTCTGTCTTTGCAATCTAAATAAGACAAAAATATGAGTAAGTTTTTAAAATTTCCTTAAGAGCTCAGGAGAATAACTGGCTGAGAACAAAATTGATTTTATAACTAAACCCAGTTGGTGTAGTGGAATATGGCATACTAGAGGCCCGGTGCATGAAATTCACGCACGGGTAGGGTCCCTAGGCCTGGCTGGTGATCAGAGCCAATCGGGGCCTTCTGGCTGCCAGCTGGGGCCTCCCTTCCCCGTTTACTCCTGCAGGTATGTTCATATGAGATGAATTCTGTCAGTGAAATAGAAAAGACATAAGTAGTAAGATGAAGTTAAAATATGTCCATCAGGAGAGACTGCTCTGTAGAAGGATAGCAATCATTAAAAAATGAATTAACTGCCCAGCCAGCGTGGGTCAGTGGTTGAACATCAGCCTATGAACCAGGAGGTCACGGTTCAATTCTGGGTCAGGGCACATGCCTGGGTTGCAGGCTCGATCTCTAGTAGGGGTCGTGCAGGAGGCAGCCAATCAAGGATTCTCTCTCATCATTGATGTTTCTCTCTCTCTCCCTCTCCCTTCCTCTCTGAAATCAAGAAAAGTATATATATTTTTAAAAATGAATTAACTGATACAAGAGAGATGCCATAGAGCTTCAAATGAAACGATGAGCAATTTGTAAAATAATAAAAACCACACTGATGACATATAAGTAAGTGCAATTAATTTCACAATTCTAGGCTTTATAAGCAAGTACTTTTAGAAATTGTCTCATTTTCTGTTTCACCCTTTCTTTTCAGAGCATACTATTTTAAGATTATTCTTTATGTAAATAAAACATGTTTATTTAAAAGAAAAACTAAAAATTACAGCATTATGTTGGAGGTGAACATTTCCTGAAATCCCATCCTACCTACCTCATCAGCCTAGGTAACCATAGTGAAGTGTACTGTTCCCTCTAGATTTTTTAAAAGCATTTACTAACACATGTGCATGAGTACATTCACTCACATATGTGTACACACACACACACACACACACAGATCCTGCAATACATATTATATTTCAACTTAATTTCTCATTAATATATTCTGGACATTTTTCTTTATCAGTATATATTATACTGGGAAACAGTAATTTATTTCTATTCGTCCCTATTGGTAGACATTTAGGTTGTGTTGGGGGGCAGACGTGTACATTGTTTAGCAAACAGTGCTGTAGTAAACATCTTTGTATAAATATTTGCATGCTTTTTAATGAAATCTAGTTTTTTTTTAAGGCCCAGCCTTTAAAACTTTTTATAAAGACTTTGATTTGTCTGTGTTCAAGGGTGAAGAATATGCTACTTAAGTCCAACTGTGTCCTGGAAGCTTTTGGCAATGCCAAAACCAACCGTAATGACAACTCAAGCAGGTTTGGGAAATACATGGATATCAACTTTGATTTCAAGGGGGACCCTATTGGCGGACATATCAGTAACTACTTACTGGAGAAGGTAAAATGTGCTTGATTTCTCAGGGTAACATAAGTGCTGAAGGTTGTTTTTATAAACCTAATTAGAGAATTTCTTTAATTGCTTCAAAGTAGCTTTTAATCTAATTCTCCCTCTCTTCCTGCTCCTCAGTTAGCTTTCTGTGACAGGATATTCTCTTTTCATGTTCTTTTATTAGCATTTACAATAGGAAGTTCAACAAAGTTACAGATTTTGTGGGTAAAGATTTAGATATGTGAGTGGGAGGGGTGGGGGTGGTCTGTGAGTGTGTGCCCACTTCTGGGTAAGTTTTAACCAAACACCAATCGAGGACTAATCAGTTCTACCCTTTTTATACATCACCACCTCCCATATGTTTTGGGGGTTTTTGGTTTGTTTGTTTGTTTTTAATGCATTGCAGAAGAGCTATCATGTTCATTCCCTGAATGACACTCTTTTCAAACAATCATGTCCATACTCTTTTTTAAATTGAGATATAACTGCCATATAGCATTGTACATAGGTTTAAGGTATACAACGTATTGCTTTCCTACTTCCATATGTTTTACTTCTGATTAATTTGAAATCTCATTTTCGTCTCGTTTCTGTTTGTAGCACTCTTTATGGCAGTACAATTGCAGTACAGTCCATTTTTGTTTGTGAAATTGAAGTCAGACTAATAAGGAAATTATGTGTTTCTATCAGAGGCAGTTTAAAAAGGACAGGAAATGCCAGGTATTATCAGGGTTTTTCCAAATGTTTCATGGCTTCACTTCACGTACATATTCTGTCAAGGGGGCCCCTGTGAATGAACATGCATTTTATAGTAGCAGCCTCTTCATAGCAGTCTTTTGGGAACCACGTCAGGCAGGGGTCTCTGTAGACTGATCTTACTCAACTGATTTTATTACAGAATATAAGGCATTGCGCTTTGCAATCCCAGCAGGCCCTGGGGAAGGGAATGTTGAGGCTCTTCATCCCTAATTGCTCCTTCCTATTCTCTCCACTTCCAATTTTTCCTCCAAAAAAAAAAAAAATCATCTTTAGGGTCAAGAACTCTGTTTTAAGCAGTAAAAAGAATTACCAACAAATTGCACAGAAAACCCCATAAAGGAGACCTCGTTTGATGGGTACTGTCCATGGGATCCTCAGGACATTTACACTCACTGTTGATACAGGACTCCCTGAGAGGGTGGCTCCTGTTTTGTTTCAGGGGTACATTCTCAAATTAACAATTTTAATTTGTTTGTTTCTTAGTCTCGCGTGATTGTGCAACAGCCAGGAGAAAGGAGCTTTCATTCTTTCTATCAGGTTAGTCATCTGTGGTGCAGATAATTGATCATTTGCTCAGTTGTGCAGGAAATGAATGTGTTTATGTTGGGGTTCTCCCCTGTCCTGTGCCTCCCTTGCCTCCATTGGCCCATGACACAGCACACGCATGCGCACATCCTACCCCATGTGCGTCCTCAGAGATTTGAGTAACATGACTATGAGACAGAGCTGCCAGGTGGGTAACCAGCCAGGTGACTGCCTTGGTTGAGCAGCGCCTGCATTTCTTTGCAGTGTAGCTAACAGTTAAATGACTTGTAAAAGCTTTTGAAGTGGGACATCCTGAATATGTTAAATTAATTTTGTTTTATTTTGAATTGAAGCTGTTCAATTTGGGAACTTAGAGGTGGGAGCACAGACTCCATTTATTTTGCTCTTGGAGACTATAAAGCGATATGAGTACTTAAAAAATGAATTCATAATTCAAGAGAATTGTTGTCTTTACCCTATCAAAGCTGTGATTGCTTTGGAAAAAAAACTATGAATACCTCTTTTGGGAATGCTCTTAGCGACTAAGACAGAATCTTTTAGAATAGCCCTCCTGTTGGCAAGTCTTTCTACTGAGAAAACAAGTCTGATACTTTATGATACTTTTTTTAGAGCCCAATGTAATATAAACCAGTGCTTATAAATAAACTGTGTGATCAAATTAAACAATACCATCTTGGATTTTTATAAAACAAAATTATAAATCAGTAAGATTGATTTCCACGTGTAAACTTTGACAGTTATCCAATTGTCCTCCTTGCCTGAGACCCAGAGATGGATGAGGAAAAGCTGGTTTTTTCCATTGTGATTCAGTCTGTGACTGCCTGCGGGCACCTCTTACTTCCACGGCAATATTGACTTTTCTGAATTCTCAAACACAACTTTAACCTGTCTGGGTATTGAGGCTGCTAAGCAAGTAACCAGCATAGAGCCTGGGCTCCTGTTTCACAAATGACCAGAGGAAAAGCAAAAACCTTTCATGCCAGTTTTATTACGAAAGAACTAAGACTTTTAAAGTTATCTTCTTCACGATTGTATAACATTCTGCATGACTAATAACTACTGAAACCGTTTACCTTCAAGGTAAAAAAAACAAACAAAATAAAACTTTAAAGCCGGAAACAGGAGGACCTCAGTAAATGAAGCCCAGAAAATGAATAAAAGCTCGATTGCCATTGTCAGAACATCTGGTAATTTTGGTTTAGTATGTATTTTGCTCATTTACTTTGCGTTATTTTTCAGCTACTCCAAGGAGGTTCTGAACAGATGCTCCGCTCTCTGCATCTCCAGAAATCCCTTTCATCCTACAACTACATCCATGTCGGAGCTCAGTTAAAGGTGAGCGTTTCCTCTTTGAGACTGTTCAGATACAGAATCAGAGGATGGGAGGGGACATTAAATGATTATCGGGTCCAGCCTGCTGCCTTTAGGCAAATGAATGGCTCTTCCCTTATTAAAATTCTCAGGGGCAGAGAGGCAATGCGTGCTTGACTCGACAACTTTGCCTAATAACCCATTACTTTATCTCATCACCATCTGACAGGAAGTTTCTCTCCTGTGATCTTGTGGTTTCTTTTCATTTTTAATCCTCTTCTTTTATTTTGACACTATAAAAATGTTACTGTATGATTAGGAAATCTACCTCAAAAGAAAATACCATGTGATTTGGCCAAAGGCAAGTTGTTAAAACAAGAGAAAATTTAAGAACATTTTGGTTGAAATGACTATCAAAGTTCTCCATTCACTATTTTTTTCAGCTATTGATGTAGCCTAGCAGTAGTTTTGTGACCTTTGCAGCATTTCCGTTTAGCTTTGACGTTTTACCTTTTTTTCCCCCCTTCCCTTGCATACGAGTCCTGGCATGCAATGCAGGTACTTTTTGCTTTTATTTTAGTTGTTTTTCTGCTGGTCAGAAAATCCTAATAATAGTTTGTTGATGGTAGGATATGAAACAATAGTCACAGTATTATCCTAATTTGTTGGGGGAAGGTACTGTTTACAAATACATAAAATATGATATAGAGAGAAATAGATCAACATTTTAATAGTTTATTCTGGATTGATGGTATTACAGATATTTGTGTTCTGCTTTTCCATATTTTAAATGTCTTCTATAATTAAGAATGCATTGGGGGGAAAATAAAAGAATATATAAAAGGCAGGGATCTAAGATGTGGGAGGTGTTCTTTTTATTTCAAAATGTTTATTATTCATCTTAAGCTAATGATACCTGCATTACTAGTTTACCTGTATTTTTATTGCCGTGCATAGAAATAAATTATATTTAGGGTTTTGCAATTAATTTTCCATCGTTTGACATTTAAGTTGCATGATTTTTTTTACTTTTACATTCATCAGAGAACAGGGTATTTGGCCAGAAATTAATTAAAAACAAAACATTAGAGGACAACACTCCAGCTTCTGAGATAGGCCAGAGGTACTAAAGATGCATAAAGGACTGTACATCCAACACTTAAAAAACATTCCTTTTTATCGAATTGTCTTATTGACCAAATTACTTTTGGCCAGGTCTTACAGAGCCCCTTGCCCAACTGTCCCCCCCCCCACCCCCCCGAAAAGCAAGAATTAAATGAACATTTAGCCTTCTCTTTAAGCTAAATTTAGTTTAGGTTCCCTTTTCATCAAAGTTTTCCATTCCTCTTTTTTATTTCTTCCTCTCTAATAAAAACAAAGACTTATATACATGGTCATAGTGTCTTCTTAAATAAGATTAACCTAAAGGAAACAAAAATATGCTGAAGCCTACCATCCAGAAATAATTATTGATCACAGTTTATGTGTAACCTGATACTTGTCCAGTGTTTTTTATGTGTTAAAAACTAAGCAGGTGCTTTCTATGAATTCTCATTCAGTTCTCACAGCAGTCCTGTAAGAAATATGTTATTATGTCCATTTTACCCATGAGGAAATTGAGACTCAGTGAGGTGAAGTGTCTTGCCCAGGGTCAAAGAACAGGTAGGTGGAAGACCTCGCGTGTTTGTGTCCCAGACACTGGAGGACCCCTTCCTGTGCCCTTTCTCAGCAGGTGAGAAACTTGCCAGGGAAAGGGCCAGTCGGGCCCGCCAGGTGCTGCTTTGGGAGCACTTTGAAGATAGGCAGTTGCCATTTGCTTCCTTGTGAATTTCTGTTGATACACTTAGGTTTCTAACCTGGTGGCTACAGCTTCTCAAGGCTTAGTCCCGTCAGCTGCTACAACAAAAATACCATAAGCTGGGTGGCTTGTAATACACAACAGATGTTTATTTCTCACAGGCTGTCAAGTCCATGATCAAGGTGCCTGCAGATTCAGTGTCTGGTGAAGGCCCGCTTTCTGGTTTATAGATGGCGCCTCCTCACAGGGCAGGAGGGACAATAAATCTCTGTGCCTCTTTGATAAAAGGGCACTAACCCCATTGTGAGGGCTCCACCCTCATGACCTCATCGCTTCCCGAAGGCCCCGCCTCCTAAAATCATCGCCTTTGGGGTTAGGATTTCAACTTGGGAATTCTGCGGGGACACACACATTTCATCTATAGCAAACCCCCTGAACCAGTTAGAAGGTCAGATGCACTGAATGTCTGTGAAAAGGTGAAATTATAGGCCCAGACTGTTGACTGCTAGCTTCATTGAATGATTGAGGCAGGTTGCTTTGTGTTGAGGGTCTTCTTTTCCTCACCTGTGAAATAGAAAGCCTGGCCGTGCAGGAGAGGGAGTGCTGTTTCCAGCCTCGGCAAGACCGAGTGAGGGACCAAAGGCCCAGGAGACGATGCCAGGCATGTGTGTGTCTTAGAGGCTCCACAGCCAGGGTTTCCCTTTGGAGCTCACATCCCCTGCTGTTTCCTTCCTTCATCCCAGAGCAGCGATCCCCTTCGCTGAGTCAGCTTAGGACTTGCTCCCTCCTGGAGGGTCCAGGAGTGACAGCAGCTCTCACACACAAGTGGGCGTTGTTGGTGCTGCAGGACGTTTCTACCCTGGAAATCATTTTTATTTTCTCTGCATTCTCAATGACGTACGACACAAGCATCAAGACCTTGACTAAACTTAAATTTTGTCTCATCATTGTTTTAATGCTCATGTGAAATGCCTGTGACTTAACTTTTCCATTTTCATTCCTAGTCTTCTATCAATGATGCCGCCGAATTCAAAGTGGTAGCTGATGCCATGAAAGTAATTGGCTTCAAACCTGAGGAGATTCAGACGGTGTATAAAATTTTGGCGACTATTCTTCACTTGGTGAGTAGGGACGTCTCTCAGAATCTGTCACCTCCCTGTGGAGGTAGGATGCTCTTTCAGAAGAGTTTGGGTGGTTTTTTTCCCCCCTGTAGATTTCAGAAGTAATGTTTTGAAGAAATTTCTCCATCAAGAGTTCTCTCCACCATATAATAATATTTTCCAAGTCACGGTAGGATTTGAGACTGTGGCTTGACTTAATTATCTTATTGGTATGTCTGACTTTGAAGTGGTTCATCTCAAGAATGAAAGAATTCAGCAATGATGTGACTAAAAACTTTTGGACAGAATAAATTCCTAACAGCATTGGAAACATTGGAGTCATAGATTATTGGAACCGGAGTTTTGATGGTTTCGTTTTGCAGGTTCGGGGATGAGCCCAACAGGGGGCAGCATGACTGGGTCAGAGGCACAGAGTTCACGGCCGCCAGCACCATGGATCACGCTGGCCGCATTATGGTCCAGTTGTTTTCCACGACCCCACACCAAACCCAGAGGAAGGGAAGAACCCTGGGTTAGATTTCTTTCATTAACCATCTGTGCAGGGGTGGGCAAAAGTAGGTTCACAGTTGCATTGTGACATTCTTTTGAGTTAATACAGCTGTTGTAATAATCATAGCCTGCATGTCTTTTTCCATGCAAACAACTGTCAACCAACTTTTGCCTGCCCCTGTATATTTGGACATGTTTAAAACATAATGAACATGCAACCTTACAATAAATGAGTGACAGCATGAATTCAAATATGGAATAAAAATTACCTTGCACTTTACCATAAGATTTAACTCTAAATGAATCAGGACCTATATAAAAATACTATGTAGCAATATAAATGATACCTTATGTTTCTGACTGGGAGACTTTAATGTGATAAATTGTCTCATTCCTAAAACTACTTTATAAATATAGTTAAAACAGTATCCTCCGGAATCCAAATAGAAATTTTGTTTTGAAGTTGCCATAATCGTTCTAGAATTTACCTGAAACAGTAAACATGTAAGAGGAGCAAATAAAAATGTATTAAAGAAGAAGAGTAGAGTAGGGGGAAGCGGGGAGAAGAAACATGACTAATTTTTACCAGATTTTAAGTGATAATAAAAGCTACAAAACCTTAAAACTTGTTGCAAAATTCACCAGCTTAATCAGCCGATTAGCTGATGTGCTGGACACTTGGTTAGTAAGTGTTTCTTGAATGAATGGAATATAAATAGACTCAACAACTTGGGGAGGATTTGAATATAATAGTGGTAACATTTCAAATCAGGACGAAAAGCTGAACTATTCAGTAAGTACTATTGGAGCAACTAACAAACTGTCAGAAAAAACAAGGTTAGACTCTTACTTTACCCCACATACAGACAAATTCTAGGTGGATCAAAAGCTTAAATGTACGAAAAAACTGTTCAACTATTAGAAGAAAATATTGAATACTTATAAAATCTTTGGAGTGCAGATGGTCTAAGTATGACACCCAAGAAAGATTCATAAGCAAAAGATGCATAGATTTGACTACATCAAAATATAAAACATCTACCCATCAAAAACATATACTGAAAGTTAAAAGAGACAGGTTTCTGGAGAGGAAAAATAATGGATGAAGCACTAGGTATTTATATGTCATACCAAAGGCCCAGTGCATGAAATGCATGCACGGGGGCAGAGGGGGGGGTCACTCAGCCCGACCTGTACCCTCTCCAATTCGGGAGCCCTCAGGGGATGTCCTACTGATGGCTTAGGCCCGCTCCTCGTGGTTCTCTGCTGTCTGCAGGGCCCGCTTGACCGCTCCCGGGTCGCTGGGGCGCCGGCCAAGCAGGCCCTGCTCTCAGTGGCCACACCCCAGGACCAGAGGACTCCAGCGGGGCTGAGAGGACTGGGCGCCACCATCTTTGTATTGGAGGGATGGTTAATTTGCATATTACTCTTTTATTGGATAGGATATTTAGGAAAATATGTGCTACAAACAGAGTCACTTTGCATTATATAACTGTATCCCTGACATACTATTTCAGAATCTCATTGGCAATGGTGTGTCTCATTTCTTCACTCCTGGTATAGGGAAATTTAAAATTTGTAGTGGATGGTGACACTCCTCTCATTGAAAACGGCAAGGTCGTATCCATCATAGCAGAATTGCTCTCCACCAAGACGGACATGGTTGAGAAAGCCCTTCTTTACCGGACTGTGGCCACAGGGCGTGACATCATTGACAAGCAGCACACGGAGCAGGAAGCGTGCTACGGCAGGGACGCCTTCGCGAAGGTGGGATTTCAACTCATGTTCTCTGGGCCTGGTGTGGGTCTCAGTTTCATTTTATCTTATTTACTTTTTAAAAAAATATTTTTATTGGTTTCAGAGAGGAAGGATGAGAGGGAGAGAGAGAAACATCAATGATGAGAGAGACTCATTGATTGCCTGCCTCCTGCACACACCCTCCTGGGGATGGAGCCCACAGCCGGGCACGAGCCCCGACCAGAATTGAACCGTGACCTCCTGGTTCATAGGTCTACACTCAATCACTGTGCTATACCCGCCAGGCTCAGTTGCAGTTTTAGTGAATTGCTGTGAGGATGTGTTCAGAGGTCCCTTGAAAGTAGCTTCAGGCTTTTAGAGACTTTGGTCATGATACTTTTTGGCCATCACAGTCTACATCAACACCCCTGACTGTGAGCATCTCTGTTCGAAAATGATCTGAGAAAAGCAAAGCTGACCGACCAACTGGCAAGCCCAGGGCACTTGCTTTTGGGGTCCCTTGCTCAGATGGTCCCCTCTCACACCCCCCATTTTGCTTCTCTCACTCAATAATGCTTCGTGGAAGGCCCCTTCAAGTCCACAGATGGCGTCTGCTCCATTCTGTTTGTGTACCAGTGTGCAGTGATGGTTCCATCATGTATTAGCCGTCCTCCTCCTAAGACTGGCAAGCCCAGGGCACTTGCTTTGCGGGTCCCTCGCCAGATGGTCCCCTCTCACACACCCCATTTTGCTTTTAATAATGCTTCGTGGAAGGCCCCTTCAAGTCCATGGATGGCGCCTTCTCCACTCTGTTTTTCTGTGTACCAGTGTGCGGTGATGGTTCCATCATGTATTAGCCGTCCTCCTCCTAAGGCATTCACCTTGTTTCCTCCGTTGCCACTGCAAACAATGCTGCAATTGGCCCCATACATCTCTCTCTCTCTACACACAAGTGCTTTTATTTCAGTTGGATGGACGCCCAGGAATGAGCTTGCCAGACCAAAGGACATGCTGATTTTAAATGTTAAATTTACTGATTTTTATGGGTACATAGTTATAGCTCATTCTTACTTTAATTTTCATGACTAGTGTATCTGAGCATCTTGTCATAGAAGGTATTTAAATCTACTCTGAGCATTGCCTGGCTCTATCCTTTGTGCATGTGTCTTTGGGGCTGTTACCTTTTTATCGTCCGTTTGTAAAAGCTGGTCACTTTAACCCTTGGTCTATTTTCTGCGTGGCAAACATTTTATTTTTTTCAAGTCTAACATTTTCTTTTCTATTTTGCTGGTTGATGAGATTGCTTTCTGTTCCACTTTTTATTTGTGTAAGTCTCGGGTGTGGTTTTTAGTCTTGGGAAGAATTTGAATGCATCTCAGTGCAATGGAGAGTGGAGGATTTGAAGGTGGGACAGTGCCATCAAATTTGAATTTTTTAAATGATCATTCTGACCTCAGTATGGAGAATCTTAGGGGAGGAGGGGAGGGGGGAGGGCAAGAATGGTAGCAAAGAGACCGATTAAAAGGGGACGTTTCAATAATCTAGGAGAGAGACAGCGACAGCCTGGGCTAGGAAGGTAGCAGTGGCAGTGGGGAGAAGAGGGTGAGTTGAGACCAACTGTGTTTGGAAAATAAAATTCACAGGACCTGTTTGTCTGGAGAATGAAGAAATCAAGGGAATTCCTTAACGTGGTCTGGCTCCAGCCTACCTCTCCTGCCTCTGTTCTTCACTCCCGCACATGAGCCTTCTCTAAGGCCTTACACGTTGTCTTTATCCCTTTCTCCTTCGGCCACAGGGCCCTGCACGTGCGGTTTCCTCTGCTCTGATGGTTCTTCTCTCCCCTCTCACCTGGTAACTCTCACTCATCCTGATCTCAGCCCACTTTCTCAGGGAAGCCTTCCCTGGCCTCTCTGAACACTGAACAGGCTCAATTCTCCTCAGATCTCACACACGTGTCCTTTAGAGTGAGTCAGTGTGTGTGCGCGTGTGCGTGTGTGTGATTTTCCCTTCACCTGGCTCCGTAAGCTCCTTGGAGAAGACCATGTCTATACTTGCTTAGCACCGTATCGTCAACAAACTGCACATAGCAGGTCCTCAGCAACTATTTGTTGACTGAATGAATAAATTCCTATGTTTCTCTTGCCATTTATTCATGGTTAAAAGTAGGATAGGAGCAGTTTTGGGGGGTGGGGAGATGATGGTGTCAGGTCACGCATAGGCATGTGGAGCTCGGAGGAAAGGTCTGTGTTGGGATAAGACATTTGGGAGTAGTGTATCACTGCTGTTTAATTTTGGGTGATACCACTTGGAGAGGTGTTAGACAGTGAAGAGAAGAGGGCCAGGAGGAATACCCGCCTTCAGAGGTCAGGTGGAGGAGGACCTACCAAAGGTCCCCAAGAAGGAGCAGCCAGTGAAATAACAAAACTAGGGAAGTGTGGTATCCTGGATCCCAGGGAGGAGGAGTTTTCCAGAAGAATGGGGCACTCAGGTGAGGAGTGCTGAGTATCTGGATGAGATGACCTTCTAATGCAGAGGTTCTCTGTGGGTCGAGACCCTTTCACAGGGGTCGCCTAAGACCATCGGAAAACACATATATAATTACATATTGTTTTTGTGAATAATCACTATGCTTTAATTATGTTCAATTTGTAACAATGAAATTGGGGGTCACCACAACATGAGGAACTGTATTAAAGGGTCTCGGCATTAGGAAGGTTGAGAACCAATGGGACAAGAAAGGGTGTCTCTAGGGATGCTCGGGGTCCTTGATGAGCCGTTTTGGTGGATTAGTGGGAGCTAAGCGAAGACAGGAGTGGATTACAGAGAGAAGGGGCGGTGATGAGTGGAGCAGTGTGTATAGATGTGGACCAGTAGAGAGGGAGGTGGCTGGAGGGAGCTGGTAAGGAAAGGCTTTCTAAGGATGTGACATTGCAGAGCATGTTTGTACCAGGATATGGCTCTGTGTTCATGTGCAGTGCCTTTGTCCACATATGACTTGGCATGTATATCCTTGTGTATTGGATATGTGTTTGATTCTCAGGGAATGTCAAACTGTGGCCTTTAGCCCAGGTCTTTATTTAGCATTATAAATCAATATTTGCATTTTTTAAATTTACAGAGCTTTCGCAGAACGTAGTTATTAACTCATTGCTTTCTCACTTTTTAGATTCAAGACAAAGCAAGGAAGTGAGTTACCTGGGGGAGTAGGCAAATTATTGAAATAGCTGAGTATGGAAATGTACCTGGGGAATGTTGTTGGAATACAATAAGCATAATACTGATAATAATCTTAAAAACTCAAACCATTTAGTTTTGCATCCATTACATTGCTTTTTTTATCAGACAATCTGCATTTCGTATTGTTCTGCTTC